CACGCATGTGTGTGTGTATGTGTGTGTGTATGTGTGTTGGTCTGTGTAGCTCTACCATATGCTGAGGTAATGGTCGTCGTCAAGGGGACAGCTCATCCTCTGAGAAAAACGCTGGGTGGTCCTGTGACCTAAACAGTGACAAAAGGGACAAAAAGAGGGAAGAAAGTCAAATGCATCAAACCATGTATGGATTACCAAATGGAGAGGTCAGGGGTCCATGGACCAAAGCCTCTCTATGAGCTGTTAATACTTTTAATACTTCTTGTTTCAAAGTCAGAAATAAGACACAAAATGACTATAAAGAAACAAAATAACTATCGAAATGCACAAAATGATATAAAAGAGACAGAAAACCACCACAAAGATAAGCTAAACAACCACAAAGAGAAACAAATCAACCACAAATTTATGCAAATGCAAAATGACAATTAAGAGATGCAAAACTACCACAAAGATAGACATAACTTCCACAAGGAGACCAAAGCAGAAATAAAACAGCCACAAAGAGACAGAAAAATGACCAAAAAGAGACACTAGATGACAACAAATGTATGCAAAAGACCTCAAAGATGCACAGAACGACCACAGAGACACAAAATGACCACGAAGAGATGCAAAGCTACCAAAAAGAGAGTCAAAACAAACAGAAAGAGATGAAAAATGATTAGAAAGGGACTCAAATCAACATAGAAGGGATGCAAAATGACCATTAAGAGCTGCAAATCTACCAAAAAGAGACATAACTACCACATAGAGACCAAATCAAACATAAAATGACCACAAATGGAAGCAAAACAACCATAAAAGACACAAAACGATCACAAAGACACAGAAAATGTTCATAAAGCGTCTACAAAACTACGCTTTAACCTGTCTGTGCTCAGGGGTTCATTTTCACATAATCTGTCCATGCCTCAAAGGAATTCCTAAAACAGGCTAAAATGTTTATCTTAGCTCTTAGGTACGCTGTGATGGTTTTTGCAGCTGTGAGGCCTGGCAGTAACGTATGTGGATAATGAATGCAAGTTCAAGCCGTTGAGTTTATTCAAATAAATTCCACTTTTCATTTGATCTCACTGGAGTCCATTTATCACACACACACAGACACACACACACACACACACGGACACACCTAGTGGCTATCAGGAGGAAACGGAAAACCAGTGTGGAGAGTATTAGCATGAGAGCGAAAAGGCAGATCATCCTGTTCGCTGTGACTCATCTCTGTTCAAGAGTAACACTATACCAACGCTGGTGACCAGGCAGGAAAGGATCAGTATCCCTCACTGGGAGTAATGTGGGTGTTTGGTGTGTTTACCCCGGCGTGTGTCAGTGCAGCACATGTGTGTCAAACGTGTTTCTTTTATGCAGGTTGGGTGTTGTGCGGGCAGAAAACTCCCCACTGTAAAGCTCTGGGAAAGAATCTGTCTTCCTCCTGCACCTGCCCTCCTCTTCCTCTCTCCGGCTGGACCGACCCTCCCCTGCTTTTCCTTTTCCTGATCGCTCCTTCTCTCAAGTGTGTGTGTGTGTGTGTGTGTGTGTGTGTGTGTGTGTGTGTGTGTGTGTGTGTGTGTGTGTGTGTGAAAATGATTGTTTCACATGTGGGGATCAGAAACATGTACTCATACCTACAGGCCAAAGTAGGTCATCTGTCAGGGCCTTCCAAAAGTGACTCATATGAGCGTTTTCTTTTTGTTTTTTTTATCTGCTGTGGTTGAGGTATGGTAGACTGAAACTACAAGTTTAAAGGTTGCTGTCATCGTTAAAGGAAAGTTTGACTGATAGAAGGAGAAGCTTTGGGGGAGACACGTCTGCTGCTACTACAACTAAGGACAGCTGTAGCTCAGATGGTCGAGCCAGTCAACCATTAAACTTTTGTTTGTTTGGTTGCCACAACATCATAATTGGGAAAACAGTTTAGTAGTTTATGACCATCATTTCTAAGAGACGGGGTTGGATTTTGAGCTGGTCTTTGAGTGTGTGTGTGTGTGTGTGTGTGTGTGTGCTGTGTGTGAGTGTGTGTGTTCTGTTTGCTGCTGAGCAGGTAGTGGACAGTGACCTTTTAGAGCTGTTTGTCTGAAAACAGCTGCTGCGACGCCATGACAACGGTGAGAGTGAACCAGAACAGTAACGTTGGGGTCCAAACACATGAACAATGAGCTGAAACTCAAGACAAAGCTCAGTGAAGCTGAAGGCAGCTGCAGATTCAGCTAATATTTTCTGCAGGTTCATCATCACTTATAGATTATTTTTCATATTGTTGTGTCATATGTTGTTATTATGGAAATAGTGTTGGTGGTCCTTCTCTCACGTGGACAAAAACATACCCCAAAAAATTAACGAGCTGAGTTTCAGTAGAGCATTATGGTCCAACCAAGAAACAAAAAACAGAGTGTCTATTTGCACCTGGATGAAAATTATCACACAGCAGCTATTTGGCTACTTACACCCAATGGCTCCGTAAGTGCTTCGGTTTTTGCAGTATTAAAAAATGAGACAGGAGATCAGACGTGATGTTACCAGCCCTGCTTTTTAAATACTGAGCTTTCTGAGCCGATCAGCTCTCGTTCATTGGACAATTAGTTATGACTTTCAGATGAGAGCCTCGCTTGGATTATACTGTTACCAGAGTTGTGATAACAAACACCAAGTCTCATGCTTTCTTTTTGACCTTTTAACACACTTTTGTTTGTCCTCTAGTGATTTATACATTTTTTTTTGCAGATTTCCTCCTTCAGTCTGAGCTTTCTCTGGTCGCCGGGGTTAGTCAGCGCTGAAAACACTCAAGCGGGGAAGTACCCAAGTGGAGAACATTGAGCAAGAACATAGAAACGCAGGGTTGAATCCCAGCAGCAGCACTGCTGAAGACAAATTCATTTTATCAGAATCTGACTATACGACTTGAACATAGATCTGATAAGATACTTACAGTCTGATTGATAATAAGGTCTTATACTATGAAATGTAGACGGCAGATGATATTTTAAAGCTGCTCTAATTAATATTCTTATATTAAAAATACATCAAATGACGACATGTAATGTTATGTAATGAACCCACAGAGAATTACCATCCACCCTCAGCTCTACCTGGCGTTTTAGCGTCTTTTAACTCACTGTTTTTTTTTTTCTTTTAGCTCATGGCTTCACCGCTCTGGTTCGTTGTCACCACTCTCATCAGTTTACAGCTGATCAACACAGCCAGTTGGTGGAACAGAAGCTGGCCCGAATGTGGCGTCATGACTTTGGCTCTCTGTTGCAAGTAGATGTAAGAAGCATTTGCTAGATATTAGCTGGTTTTCAGAACAGCTGAGTGAAATTTTCTCCCTAATTAACTTCTGGTGTGGCGCGGTGCTTCTCGTGATGTTTGTCAAACGTGCGAACCAGCCAGACAAGTCTTTGGATGTGAAGTCACGCACGATGTTGACCATTCATCCTTCCTAGTCCCCTCCCTCAGATAAGTCACGCTTTGGGAGTGAATGTCGACATAGTTGTTTTCAGCTGTCTGAGCAAATGAATAATACTGTTGTTTTTGTGAAGAGGACGACATTAAACACACATTAATTCATTGAAGCACCACAGAGAAGAGTGCAAGTAACTACAGACTATGTACAGTATCAAACCTACACAACCCTGCAACTCAGACAAGTCTGGGGGCTTTTCCAAGAGGCACTTTGACCGAGTTACACTATGAAGTCTATCGACATCAATCTTTGTAAGAAATTTAAGGGGATTTCATGTTTTCATCCAGATAAACCTGCTTCTTGGAACAGGCCACAGATCGGCTGCACCGGGTCCCAGAGCTGTTTCCATTTGAGCTGACTGAACTCCCCCGTAAGAGATCTTCGCAGCCCGAGGAGACGTCACATGATACCTTACCCCGCCAGTGTCTCATCGGCTCGCAGACGCGCTCTGAACTGTATTGATTATTAGGCGACGGAGCAGCGGTGCATCCCCACCTCTCAGGATGCTCGCTCTATCCACACACACGAAAGCGCAGCCAGTTCATTTCGAGGTTTTTCCTCTTCACTGGTGACACACACAGTCTGCAGAACACACATACTTACACATACAGTACGCTGCCTGTAATGACCTAACCTCATTATTCCCCACCCAGCCTCAACTCTAATTTAATCCCAATTTTAATTTTAACTTCAGCACCGCAAATAAATCTGTTATGAAAATGTCATAACACAAACTACTGTGTAATATGATAACATCACATTATCTTATTAGTCAGAGCTCTTTGAGGTTTTACAAATGAATGTGACTTTTACCATGTTACACTAGCAGTGTATAATGTAATAATTTGATGTTATGTGGGATTAAATCCTTTATAAAGACATGTTATTGCAGTTGAAGGCATAGTTTAACATTTTGGGAGATTTGCTTATAAATTAAAAAAAGTTTTCTCTCTCGTATCTACGTCTGGAGCCAGAGCCAGGAGGCAATTAGCTTAGCATAAACACTGGGAGCAGGAGGAAACAGCTAGCCTGGCTCTGTCCAAAGTTCAGCTGTGTGTCTTCCAGCACCTCTAACACTCACTAATTAACACGTTACAAGAACAACAAATCGTGGAGGGGTTTTCCCTTTTGTTTCCAGACTTTGTCCTCCAGCTCCATGCTTCACACGCAGTATCAATCTTCTTATCTGCATCATTCCTTTAACCCACAAATGCTGGATTATGATTTTTTTTTTGTATAGGCCCCTGATGAAAAAAAGATGTTGGTAATTCTTTGTTGTACAGGTCCATGATTTTCTAATAATTTTCCTGGTAACGTCCTCTGGAGTTTCATAGAAAGAACTCTGAAATGTAGTGCTAATTATAGGGAAAACAGAGACAGTGGTGCACCACACAAATATTTAATTCATATTATTTACAAGTGGAAGAGAGGAGAGGCTTTTGGTCAGAGCACAGCAGGCCAGCTAAACATGAAATAATGGGACATTCGTTTATAGAAAAACACACAATTTAATATGAAGAGTAAAGTTTCCAGTTGGTTTAAATTGAGAAGTTTATTCACAGAAATGAATATTCTCCTTGTTGTCATACGACTCGGTTCTTTTCAGGAAATTACCGAGATCTTTTCTACCTTTTGTCAGTTACATGATATGGTCTTGATGAGTGCAGAGCTGCCAGGGGTGACACTGAGTTTCTTGTTGATCTCCAGGGTGAAGACATTTACTGGATGACATCAGCAGTAAAATGCTCTTTGCTTTGCTTCATGCCAAAATAGACGAAGGGGATTTTCTTTTTTTCTTTCTTTTTTTTTTAGTCCCCCCATGTTGAGAGCACCACCCTTTGTTCTTTGTTGCCTCGGTCGGGTGATAACCATCTCCGCCGTCCAGCTCAGTGTCGTTATGAAGCTGCCATTTCCAGCAGCTCTGTGCCCTCTGCCCACCTGGAAACCTCACCCACTTTCTATAGCGACAACACCCAAACTTAAAACAGTTGGCGCTAACAAAAAGGTGTTTTATTTAAATCCTCTAAAGCTGCTGTGAAGTTAAACTGAAAACGATCATAAAATCCCTGTCAGTAGAAAATCCTATTTGGATTTGCATCTTTTGATGTGATGTGAGAATCCTGCTATAGATGCATCACATGTGACTTTGATTTTTTAAAACAAACAAAAAGCATCATGTATTTGGGTAGAGCCGTCCTCCCTCTGCACACATTGATTCAATTAAAAGCCCCAAATATGATCTGAAGATTATGAGTCACGGCGATGACCTTCAACTAAACTGGCGAAAACTAAAATCGATTCAACTCCACGTCAGGGCAAAACCCCAACATGACTCACTGGTGCACGCAGACAGATACAAGACACCAAACACTCAATGATTAATAGCATAATCAAAAACACATTATAGGAAGTGCATACTGCTCAGTGGGTATATATTTAATGCAGTTGCTTTCATCCACCACCAAGGTATGTAGCTGATTTCCAGCTATTCTTTATCACCTCAACACTGGTTATGCTTTTTATTGAGTGAAAGAAATGTAAACTTCAGCTGAGTATGCAGATGAGTAGAGTGTACGCCTGCTCGTAGTCGCCGTTGCACTGGTCGAGGATGTCCTCCAGGAATGCTTTGTTGTAGTCTGGAAAGCTGTTCATCAGTTTCATCAAGGACCAGTTGTAGTCAGGCTCCGGGTCTGAAAAACACACAGTAAACACACAGTCCTCACAGAGCCCCAATTATTCATTATTGTTCCCACGGGGCCCCTGTTGGCAGAGGGTTTGTCGATTGTCATGCACGACAGCTGGAAGTCTTGCCGTCATATATTTTCTTATTTTCTTTGAGCTGGTACAATTTGTTTTGTTTGCACACACGCCAAAACATCACCAAATGCTGCGAGGCCATGACCCCAAAATGCTCTTCACTCAGCTGTTTGGCTAAAAATGCACCAAAAGAAAAAACGAATTCTTAAGTCTGCGTTCATTTCTTTCAGGCAAGCCGTCTGACCATGCTGGCACCTCGTCCCTACATCTACCCACACAAACGGGGCCATTTCTGGGGCCAGAATACAGGCCTGGGAATCAGTGAGCGACGAAGAAAAGAAGCCATCACCCAAACCAGAGAGGAGATCGGCTCGGGCAGGTAATGACAGAACGCAGAAACGTGACCAGGACGCTGGTAAAACACAGACTGGGGCCCGACGGCTGCAGCCTGACATGGATTGAGGATGTTGTGGGATTCTGACAAGCAGGATCGTGCCCACAACGTCAGTGCCAGGACCGAAGGTTTGAAATGTTCTCGGGTATTTTAGCTTTAACCTCGGACTGGTGAAATCGCCCTGCCGTGGCTGGCGTTCAGATGGGCAGTTAGTCAAGAATGAAAGGCTGTGGAGAGGCAGGACGAGAGACAGAGGATGGCTCGTAAACTGAGCTTTAGGCTGGGAATTAAAAAAGAAGTGGAATGTGACTTTCTCTCTCCTGCTTCCACTTCAGATACCTCAGCTCTTGTCTGTCGGTTTGGATCCAGCACCAGTGCTCTTTTCTTCCTGGAAGGATTGTAGGGAGTTTTATATCAGTGTGAACTGACTGTTAGTGTTTGGACAGATAAGAAAAGGCATCAGAATATGTCACCTGGGGCTGTGATAAATCTGAAGACCTTTTTTTACGATTTTCTTATCAAACAATTAATTGATCAAATGAGAAAATAAAGGAAGGATAATTTGATGATGAAAATAATTATACATTGCGGCCCTAAAGCTCTTTACCATTGTGGAAATAAATCCCATCAAGTTTCATTGTCTAAACAGCTTGAACACACAGCAGTTAAACACATAAAGAAAGTGAGCAATGACAAAGACACTGAGTTTCATCCCATGTGGCGTGCACACAAGCAAGGAGCAGGAAATGCTTAAGCTTAGGTAATGAACATGACGTTCTCTGTTTCTGTTTTCTTTGTGTATTGTGAGTGGCAGGTATTTGTATGTGTGTGGCAGCTAGTCAGGTATCAAACTCACGGTGTCGATGCAGGCCAATTATAAACGGGTGTGACTGTTCCTCTTGGCGTGTGTGTTTGGCTGCACGCCGAGAGTCTGTCAGTCTAGCCTGGGTTCAATGCTCCCAGAGAATTTTCCTCCCTGACTGACAGAAGCCTAACAACACATACTGTTAGTGTCTGTGTGTGTGTGTGTGTGTGTGTGTGTGTGTGTGTGTGTGTGGGGGTGGGGGGGTGGGTGTGTGTG